TCAGAAAGAATCTCAGATTTACAGGAAAAGCCTTGTGCTTAGCTTAGCGTTATGTAAACAGAGTGCCCTTAAATGGGCCTGATGCGATCAGCAAGGTGGAAGAGCTGCATGAGTAACAGTGTGTGTCTTTAGGACAGTGCCAGCTTCAGACTTTTCAGGAGCTCAGAGCTCAGCCGGTCCACAGCAGCTCAAGGATCTTTAGAAAAATACAACCAATAATTAAAGTCATGTTTTCCATTATTAACAACAACAAACAAAACCATCGTCGATTCAATTCCACATGTCTAGTTCCATATGAAACTTTCCACATGAGAGGCTTATTCTGGTAAGGGTCCCATCAAATTTCATTACCAAAAAAGTTGCCTTTTCAAATATAACTATTGTGAAGGGAAGAACGCACAGGGCTTACACACCACACGGACAAACAAACAAATATATAAGCTTGACTCCTTCTATTTCTCCATCAGCCACCTGGAACGTTTTACAAACCAAAGCCTGAGCTCGAGGGATAGAATGTCTTACCAGAATCGGCCTGAGAGCTGGGGAACTTCAAGATGGCAGCCAGCCTGAAAGGGGCTGGAAAAACAGACTAACGAACGCACAAAAGCACTGAACTCTACAGTGCCTGGAGGTTAAGTACACATAGCTACTTGCTTCCAGTTTGAACTTCATACTGGCAACTTCACTATGACAATTTTGGCATATCAGAATGAGCACTGGACTAAGAGCCAAAATAGGGAGCTTCCAGTCCCAGGTCTGCAACTGGCCACAGCGTGTAAGGCATTGAGAGAGTCACTTAAACTTTTCTTGGCTGTTCATGGGGGTTCATGCCTGTAATCCCAGAACTTCAGGAGGCCCAGGTGGGAGGATTCTTTGAGGAGAGGAATTCAAGGTTAGCCTGGGCAGCATAGGGAGACCCTGTCTCAACAAAAAAGAAAGAAAAATTAGCCTGGCATGGTGGCACACGCCTGTGGTCCCAGCTAGTGGAGAGGCTGAGGCATGAGGATCGCTTGAGCCTGGGAGTTCAAGGTTGCAGTGAGCTATGATCTAGCCACTCCACTCCAGCCTGGGTGACAGCAAGACCCTGTCAATCAATCAACCAATCAATTGATCAACAAAATAAAAAACAACCTTTCTTGCCCAATGGGAGTGAGGTTAATTCTGGGTTTTCCTAGTCAGGCCATTGTGAGCAGAGCATGAGATAAACTAGGTCAAAGTGCTTTGAGGCACTTAAAACATTACACAAATGTAAGGGATTTGTATTTTGGGCAGGCTTAGGAATTCCCTTCCTTTCCTGTGGGGAAAGAAAGGTAAGAAAAGTCCATACCTCTCTTATCTGTAAGAAAGTATTAGACTCCATTCATTTTACATCCTGATGAGGCAGAAGAGAGTTGTGTAATAAGAACCCTGGATGTGTCATCATCCTTATTAGAAAATTAACGCAAGGTTTAACCATCAGGTAATGAGACTGATTTTTAAATAAACATAACCTAATGGGCGTTCCCATCCCGAGTAGTGAGTAGTCACTTTGGCAGAGGAAACACTTATTTAAATCATATTTCCTATCAAAAAAATTTTTTAACTCCTCTTTTGGAACTGTTCCTAGAGCCTCTGGCACATTTTTTTGAATATGTCTAAGGGTGACACATTTTTTGTCCTTTGTGGATAATTCTGATTTTTGTAAACAGTCCAAAGTTATTTGGCACGATTGGCAAATAAGCTAAGTAATACCATTTTTAAATTGAAACTAAACTGTGATGATAAGATAGAAATCTATCTTTCTTTCAGTTCCAACAGAAGAGTTACAGAGAGATTTCAACTATGGCAGTACTGTGAGACAGGGTTTGTTCCTAAGGTGGCCAGAAAAGAAAAGCCATTTGGAAATGTATTTTTAGTCACACTTTTCATTATTTATCTTACAAGACTGCTTGCCATTGGACTTTGAGTTTCCAGAAAGAAAAGAGCATTGCAACTGATCAACTGCTCCAATCATTTTATCACAGCTCCACACGGCATTTGAATCCTTCATTTCCATACGGATTAACTGTCTCGCAACAATACAGATGTTTCCAATGAGTTAACATCTGGGCCTGAAGGAAATACAGCATCAGCAATATTCTAATCAATAGACTATACTCCCTTAAGAAGTGTAGATCTTTTTCTCAGTTATGAAACAATCTATCTGAAAATTAAAGTATCACTAATATCATCACAATGTAAACTGAAGCAACTGTTAGATTTGCTTCTGGTGCAAATAATTTTACATTGTTAGTATTATTTTAAAATAAACACAATGGCAGTTTCAGTCATTGAATGCTACACACTGTGGGCACTTCAATCTCAAATGATGCTGACGACTTTTTATGGACAATATTTTTCCCTAAATCATTTTTTAATTGTGGTCAAATTAACATAAAATTCATCATGTGACCATTTTAAAGCGTACAATTCAATGTCATTTATTTAGTACATTTACAATGTTCTGCAACCATCATCACTACCTTGTTCCAAAACATTCTCATCACCGCAAAAAGAAACTCTGTACACATTAAACAGTCACTCCCTTTTCTTCCCTCCTCCCTCAGCTCTTGGCAACTACTAATCTGCTTTCTGATCATATGGGTTTGCCTATTCTGGACATTTTATATAAGTGAAATCTTGTCATAGGTAGCCTTTTGTTTCACTTAGTATAGTGTTTTCAAAGTTCATCCATGCTGGAGCATGTATCAGTACTTCATTGCTTTTTACGGCTATATAATTCCCCCTGCATGGATATATCACATTTTGTTTATCCATTCATTCATTGGTGGATATTTGGATTGTTTTCACTTTTTGGCTATTCAGGATAGTGCTGCTATGAACATGGGTGTACAAGTTTTGGGTTGAACACCTGTTTTCAATCTTTTGGGTATACCCAGGAGTGGAATTGCTGGGTCACATAGCAATTTTATGTCTTAAGGGTTTTTTATTATTATTATTATTTCAGAGTATCACAGGAGTACACACGTTTTGGTTACATAAATTGCTCTTGTACAGTTTGAGTCAAAGTTATAAGTGTGCCCGTCACCCAGATAGTGTGCATTGTGCCCGTTAGATGTGAATTTACTCATCCTATGTTTAAGTTTTTGAGGAACCATCAAACCTCTAACTCATTTTTATGCTTATGGTTTACAAAGTATCTTGATCCCCACTTAGAAAGAAGTTGGACAGCTGCAGGGAAACCCCAGGCTGGATCCAAACAGGTCTCTTTTTCAGAAACACTGAGTAGAGCAGTCTCCGTCTGAGTCAAGCTTGTTCCAAGGCAAGGTTAACATGCAGAGCTTTGAACAGCTTTCACTGCTACTCCACATGTCATAACATGAACTGGCTGGGCAGGAATACGTTCCTGCCTCTTAGGCATTCTTGGTTTTCCATTATGTTGCACACACTTTGGGGAAAAAAGATGTTAACTACCTAACTTACAGGCTTCCCTCCTCCGTCTTTGCTGGAGTTCAGATTAGTACCCGGAGTCAATGTAGAAACAGGGCGTGGGGGCTTGTGCTACACCCGGGTCTTGGGCAGAGGCTAGTCCTTTCATGGTTAGAAAACAGGGCCTTCCTAACACCAGCTGAGACTATAGAGAGAGCCTCCACCCAGGATAAACTTTCACCAAACATTTTGACTGATGGCACTGCCCAGTGATTCTGGCCCTATTGATCCACACATACTGGAGGTGAGCCTACCCGGCTTTGCAAACTGTAGACTATTCACCCTATGGGCTTGGCCAGAGCAACAGGAGATAATCTTACTACAGGCATTGTTTACTGCAGCCAATTCACTGAGTCATGAGGCTTCTCAGTCATTAACCCAGCACTAGACAGTGACTGATTAGCACTGATTTTTAAATTTAAACCCATTCACGAGCCTCTCAGACTGCTGACCTCCTACCCCAACTCCCTAACACATAAGAAGTTGATTCTCAGATACGGACTCCCAAAGCAAGAAGCATTATGTTGCATTGCCAAAGACAGAGGCAGACCAAAATGGCTTTTTCCACTCGAAACTAAATACTAAGAATGAAGAAGTCAGCTTCCGGGGACGTGGCTGTGCTGTCTCTCTGCCAACCCAGCTGTCACTTGTCGCTTGTCTCCTGGCAGCCCTTTCAGGTGTCCTGGCCTGAATCTGCCATGAGGACAGAAGAAAGTCCCTTGGCTGGTCATATCCTCTGTAATCTGGCAGGAAACCTAAAATTTGCCTGCTCCCGTCCTCGTTCTGTTTGCTTATCTGCTTCCTTGTTGGGAAGAGCCTGCTTTGGTGTCCGGTTAGGGGGATTTTCACCATGACCTCACCCTGCTGCTGCTACCATTCACCCATCAGCGTCAGCGGAGTCACAGCGCAGCTCGGGTAGCAATCCACATTAGTGAGACATTAACAACCCTTCTAGCAGATCTCAGATGAACATCAATTCCATAAGCAGTTAAGAAAAGCCATGCCAAAAAAAAAAAAAAAAGAACATCAACTCAAGTTCTTTTTTCCACAAAGGAGGGCCCTTGCAGGGGTCTGAAAAATGCCAAAAAGATCTGGAAGAAGGGGGCATTGACGACGTTTGGTTATCGCTCTGGGCTTGGGAGAGTAGAATGTGAAGGGAGTCACCTTAAGAAAATGCACCAAGAACCTGCCGGGCTCGCGCCGGCTGTTCGAATAACTTTCGAGCCAGCGGCCCAAAGTCAGTCGCGAGGACGGTGACAGCTGGCAGCGGGCGTGCAACCCAGGAGAAAGGGCGGCGGGAGCCCTGGGAGCAGGGCCGGGGCCCTGGTCTCCGGCCCCCAGGGCTCGGGAAGGGGCCCTTCTGCCCAGAAGTGGGCGCAGCTAATCGCAGGCGAGCGCCGGCCCGGCCCACGTGACCGCGGCTCCCCACCCCGGCCGGGTCCTCCCCGCGCGCGGCCGCGGGCACGCGAGCCAGAGAGCGAGCGCGTGACTCGCCCGCGCCCAGGGCGGGAGGCGGGGCAGCGACCGCGGCGGCGTACGCGCGCGCTCCCGGGAGGCAGCGGGGGCGCGCACGCCCGGGGCCACCGCCCCTCCCGGGCCCGCCCTCCTTCCCTCCCTCCCCGGCTCGCCCGGCCCGCCCTGCGCGGCCCGCCCTGCGAGTCAGTTCGCTGGTTCCCTCCCTCCCCGGGCGCGCTCGGGCCGCCGCTGCGTTCCCCGCCCTCGAGCCGCGGAGCCGGAGCCGCCCGCCGCCGAGGAGGAGGCGGAGGGAGCCGGAGGGGCCCGCCGAGGCGGCGGCGGCGGCGGCAAGATGGCGGACTTCCTGCCGTCGCGGTCCGTGCTGTCCGTGTGCTTCCCCGGCTGCCTGCTGACGAGCAGCGAGGCCGAGCAGCAGCGCAAGTCCAAGGAGATCGACAAGTGCCTGTCGCGGGAGAAGACCTACGTGAAGCGGCTGGTGAAGATCCTGCTGCTGGGCGCGGGCGAGAGCGGCAAGTCCACCTTCCTGAAGCAGATGCGGATCATCCACGGGCAGGACTTCGACCAGCGCGCGCGCGAGGAGTTCCGCCCCACCATCTACAGCAACGTGATCAAAGGTGCCGCGCGGGGGTCGGGCCGGGCGGGGGGCGCCGCGGGCCGGGCGCGGCGGCGGGCGTGGGGCCGGGCACCGCCCTCTCGGTGGCGGAGGACCGGGCCCGGCAGCGGGCGGGAAGGGGGCGCGCCCCGGGCACCCGTCCTGCCCGCCGGTGCCCTCGCCCCGCAGGTGAAAGGATGCCCGGGGGGAGCCCCGCTGTCGCTCTTGCCGCCCCAGTGGGCGTCACAGCCATTCCCTCAGCCCCCACCCCATCCCGGTGTCGCCCCTCCGAGGGGGAAGTGGGGCGAGCCGGGTGCCTCTGGGTGCGGGGTGACCTGACCTGCCCTCCTCCCTGCAGATGAGGCAGGAAGACCCTAGAGCAGCCCCAGACTCTACACCCCTGCCCCCCACCAAGGCGCTGTATGTCGGACCTCGCTGCCCGGGGTGGGTGACCCGAGTCACATGGGGTCGATGTGCTCCCAACTCCCTGCTTCCTGGGCCGCCTCCTGAGCAAGGGAGTTCTGGAACCGTCGCAGTAAGGAAACTTTTTGCCTGAAGACTCTTGTCAAGGGCGTAGGGTGACAGCCTCTGGGGCCCTTTTGAGCAAGGATATGAAACTTGAGGGTGTCAGGTTTACTGTACTGGCATCAGGAAAGAGTAGACCCATACAATTACTCTAAAAAAAAAAATAGCATCAGTGGTTTTTCGCCCCAGTGTCACGGTCAGGTAATATGTTTCTCTGTGATCATTGTGCAACACGTTCCACTCTCTTTTTGCTAAGTGACTGGGGGCAGGAAGGAAGGGGGTACCACTACTGGCTTCTATTTAGATGAAATTGTGTAGTGGTATGAGAGCTCTTTGGCCTAAAAGTCATGCGACTCCTGTACGGGTGGAGTCAATGAATCAGTGTTGGGTTGAATAATAGGTTCTGCTCTTGTATTTTCAAAATTAAACTTTGTTCTTAAGTGAAAAATACACAAGGTCTTTATTTCTTGGCCTTCAAAGAAATCAAGAAGATAGTTTTTGTCATTTGAAAGATAATTAGCAGTCATTTTTCTTAGTGCTAATGTTCTACAGAAAAGGCATTTTGGCAAAATTGAGGTACATCCCTTGGTACTTCAGGTGCATCAGGATTTATTTTATCGGGGGAGCAGTTTAGCAATCCTTAGTTTGCTACAGATTGCAGGTCTTTTCAAGCAGTGTTTTTTAAAGTGGGATTTTTGTTCAAGAAGTACATAAGTAATTCATTCATGTTGCTTTTTTTCCTCCCAGAGTTTGGGTAGAGAAAAACTGCCTGCCTGGTGGAGGAGGCATTGTAGGGTAATGACTGAAGAAGAATGCTAGGCCAGGAGCTCACAGGCCACAGCCAGCTCTCAGCTCTAGCACCTCTGCTGTTAAACTGTAAAGAACAGTTGTATTTATCCTGCCTTACCATTTAGTACAAAACTAATTAAGGTCTCTTTCAAGGCCACAGACCCTGCCTTGTTAGTCCTTAATTGAAGGTACCTTTGTATCCTGATGCAGCTGAACTTAGGGAATTATGTTAATGAATAGAGTCAACATGCTAACTGATTGTGAGCCTGGTAAACACCCAGATCTTAATGTACACTGGGTCCTAAGTGTGACCTACTTTGAGCATTTATTATGAGATGAAATAAGTCACTAGAAATCTAGTTTTTTCGAGTTGGTATGATCGGAGAATTGACAGCTAAACATTTTTTCAGTTATCCAAATGACTTCCTAATTGCCATGTGACAAGATGGACTGAGGGTCATAGTTTAGTAAGTGATAGACATAATTGAGTTTGAACTAACCTCTGTGAGTTGGAGTCTGTTTTTATATCATTTTGCAGTCTGTCTTCCTTTTAGGGAAATCTAAAGCCATCCTGTGACTTACACTGATTTGAAGCTTGGGCCAGAAGTTTTTGAGTCTTCATTGTGTTCCTAGAAGACTTAGGTGCTAGGGTGCTGATGGAACAAGCAGAATGCAGAGCTATAATGTTCTGTTCTTAGTGTTTCATAAATAAATGTCTTTTAGACAAGCTCATAAAATCTTGGTTGTAACCGTTTTCTTCAGAGTCTGGACATTGGGCTGTGCAGCATGATTTCTTTTTCCTTCCCTTGTTTGGTTCTTTTTTGACCACCTTCTATCCCAGAAATTATTTTATAAATTGGAGTATATTAAAATCCTTCAGAAAGAGCAATTGTGTTAATAGTATTTGCTTTTCAAAGCTCTAATTTTAAGACAGTGAGCAACTGTTAGCTTTTTAACCTCTGAGAAGTTGTGGGTGTTTGTTTTGATGTTGGTCTTCATTTTTGGATGACGTGGGCCTGGAGTAACTCAGAAGTTTAAAGGAAGTAATACTGGAGTAAAAACGTAGGTACTATCTAATGACTCCTCTCCACACTTCTTTTCTTTTTAAACAAAGGTATGAGGGTGCTGGTAGATGCTCGAGAGAAGCTTCATATTCCTTGGGGAGATAACTCAAACCAACTCAACGGAGACAAGATGATGGCATTTGACACCCGAGCCCCCATGGCGGCCCAGGGATTGGTGGAAACTCGGGTTTTTTTACAATATCTTCCTGCTATAAGATCGTTGTGGGCAGACAGCGGCATACAGAATGCCTACGACCGGCGTCGAGAATTTCAGTTGGTAAGAGATTTGCTGTTTTAAAATGTTGTGGTTTTAATGACATTTAGTAACACAGGTTGCACATCCCTAATCCAAAGGCCAAACTCCTAAATGCCTCAAAATCCAAAAGTTTTTGAAAATGGAGAAACAGACAGAGGTTTAGTGAGAGGCCTAAAATGTTCTGGCCTATAATGAGTATGTGTAAAAATATTATATAAAATTGCCTTTAGGTATGTGTCTGAGGTGTATATAAAGCATAAATTAATTTTGTGTTTAGACTTGCGACCCACCCCCAAGATATCTCATTATATATATATGCAAAATGTGGAAATATCCAAAATCCAAAACACTTCTGCTCCCAAGCATTTCGAGTAAGAGATACTCAACCTGTATCTGATTTTAGCACACTTTTTCACTGACATCCACAATTTAATATATCTCTCCAAAATTGTAGCCTCAGAAATTTGGGCTGCTATAGGTAACCTTTTTACTAAGCAAGATAAAAATAAGGTAAATTCCACAGATTTAATAAAGCTATTCTATTTAATAGGTCATTCTTCCATTTTGAAAGTGAGGTCATAATGATTTTCTTAGATATTTTCTTCTAATTTTATTCTCTTTTTGAAAGTAATTTCCTTCCAATTATAGCAACTGTATTCATCTTCTTAAAAACTGACCATTTACTCTTAGAATAATAATTTAGTAACAAACCTAGTTAGATGTGCCCATTTAGTCTTTGGAGGTACTCATTTTATGATACAGGTTAATTTAATATATATAGAGAGATTAAAATAGTTAATCTTTAACAGTAAATATGCTTTTTATATATTTGCATTGTGTGTGTGTGTTTCTAAAGCTCCTAACCACATTGTATAAGATGTTCTTCTGAAAAAACAAAATAATCTTAGTTATTTTTTTGTACCTTTGTTTCACATAGGAAGCACCCAGAATTTATTTTACATTTATTTTTTCCCCTTTGTCTTAAACAAGACTACCCATAAAATACTTAGTAGCCATTACACAGCATTGAAGAAAGGCTAGAAAAGAAAGTATCCAATCCAAGTTAAAGACACAAAACTAATAATTGAAACAGATTTTTAATCAAGTGTTTTGTAATTTAATTGTGAATGCTTTGATTTTAATCTGGGTTTTATTTGCTAAAGACCAGAAAAATACCAACAGTGATAGTAATCTAGACTGTGCAATTTGGAGGTAGTTAAGAGTTTGACTGTAATATGGTTAAAATAAAGTGACAGTTAAAAGTAAAACTGCTTAGGAAGTTGTTTGATGATGTCACTAACATTAAAGCAATCTACATTTATGGGTGTGGCTACGGAATGATGTACAACCAGCAGTCTTTGCTGTTACTATTTGTACTCAAAAGAAATCTTGGCTACTAAAAATTCTAGAAAAGTGTTCCCAATAGCTTTTTATAAAACTTAACCTTAAGCCTTTTTTTTTGAGTTATGGCTCTTTTCTTTCTTTTTTCTTTCTTTTTTTTATATCTATCTTTCATTCACCTAGCTCTTCATTATGTACTATCTTGTATAGTTCCCTTATATGTGCTTCTTTGCAAGTAACTTGTACATTTCTAAAAGGAACTACCTCACATTATTATTAAAATTGAGTAGCTGGCAGCATTATATGTTGAAAACTATGAATTTAACTTCACAAGTGACCTCCATCCGATTCCCAGATTTCTGGTTAGTTTTTGTCCTTTGGTTAGTATTTGTTATTTTTGATAGACTGCTTGCTTAAGTTCCTCTACATATCCCTTCCTATCTCCCTTCACCGTTCCTCCTGCTTTTAGGTATTGCTTATTCTCCATTATTCTTAGTTCATTTTCTCAACTAACTACACTTCCCACTCTGTTGTCTCAGGCTCTTATTCATTCTTCCAGGTCAGGAAAGAAACATCCGCCTGTAATAAGCATACAGTACAAATTGAATGAAAAAATTTATATGTTATGTTATGTATGTACCCAAAAGTTCTCTGTGGGAAAGTTCCTTATTTACCCCAAGTCCATTTAATTGAAGTTGGGCTTAACTGACATTTTTTGAATTTGGAAGTTCACATCTTAAAGTTTCATATCAAGTCTGTCATGGGATCATAGCTGAGAAAGCATGCCTTAAGTATTTCTTTCTCATTAAAAGCAAATAGGTAAAAGTGCTTGGGATGAAGACCTACATGTTCTTGACTTGAGCCAGCTAGTGCTTTAGGAGCAGCGAAGTCCTCAAGGGCAAAGAGACAGGTTCCAGAAATACTTTTTTCCGTAAAAAAAAAAAAGAGAGAGAGACACAAGAAAAGAGGAACAGGGTGAGATCTGGTCCTAAGCTCCTGGAGGACAGGGATTTTCATCCTGGGTGCATCCTCAGGTATAGTACCTGGCATGTGTAGTAGATTACTGATTATTATATTGAATTAATAACTTTCATATTTTTGGATTCTCAGTGGTGTATGGCATAGTGTTGAACACCGAGAAGACACTTGGCTTATTTAAAATTTTCCTCCAAGTCATTGTTGGTTTCTTGTATTCACCTACATACAGCAGATCCCCAATTCCTGACTTTTCTACTTCTATAACATCTCTTGCATTCATTCCCTCTTTTCCTCCTCTTTTTCCTTTTCCTTTCTTATTGTTCTAGTACCTCTTACTTGGACTCCAAGGTAATCTTGTTCAAATACAGCATTAGTTTGCTCAGGTTTTGATCATTCTCCATTGCCTCCAGAACAGAGTTCAACCTCTTTGTGTGAGTCAAGACTAGCAAGCTTACCTATGATTCCAACAGCATATTTCATTATGACTCTGAACATACCTTGTAACCTCTCTATTCCCACACACATACCCTGATTTTCTCCTCCCATGGCTCTTGTCATGTAGTGCCAGAATTTTTCGTTACCATATCTCTTCATTAGGACTTACAATTTTAAGGTGACTAAATATGGTCCATGGCCCCTTTGCATACAACTGGAATGCTGGTTAGAGCAAGCAGATTCTCAGGCTTCCTCGTCTAAGAATCTGATTCAGGAATCTGGGATGGGCCCCAGCAATCTGTATTTTTAGCACACAGCAGTAAGTGATTTGGATGGATTTGCTCCGTGTTCCCACCTTCCCCAGGAACATCTCCTTATCTGAAGCATCCCCAGTCCTCCTGGCCAGAATGGTGCTCTCTGCCCTGCGTTCTCCTAGTGCGCTTGCTTGTAAAACTGGTCATGGTCCTCCGTGCATTCGTGCATTAAAGTCACCTACATTCATACTTGGCTGTCTCATTAACATAGAAAATCCTTTGGTATGCCTTGTTTGTCCTTTTCTCCTCCAGGAGCATATCGCCTGACACTTAACTTTATTTCCTCATTTTTTAGACATTCTGAATTACAAAGGTCTTGACAAAAAAAAGAGAAAGAAGCATTCACATTAAGTTCCTTCTGGGAAATACAGATTATTTCTATATGTTAGTTGGCTAAGTTTCCAGGAAATGGGAAGTTCGTGTATTATATAATCATAATTTTTGGAGTTTTTAAAAATGTCTTTTTATGTTTAGCAACATATTTTTGAGTCTTGATTAGTAAAAGTAAACATCAGGGAAAATGGGAAGAGTTAGCAGATAAAGGAACTAAGATTAAAATTAGACTTTTCAACTAATGATTGATTATTAAATTTATTAATGCAAATTGAAATGAAAAAATATACTGACAGTTTTTAAGATTCTTTGTGACTTAACATTTTGCTTAAGATGAATAATGCCTTTAATCAATTTTTTAGACAGGGGTAGGGTAGTGATATCATAGCTTAGGTTTCTAGCGGGCCACTCGTTTGTTAGTAATAACTTTGGGTGCAAACATGAATGTTTTCCTTTCTGAGTTCCCAAAGGCAAACATTTCCTTTTCTGGTTAGTTCCATTGTGGGTAAGCAAAATAGCTTACTAGGGAAAAGAAAAATCTAAGATTCATATTCTTGTTATAACTTAAGGTACCTTTCTACTTAGTATAACCTAGCACATTGAGGATAACATATCATACAAAGTGATCTCTTTTAGTACTGGATTAAATATTTGTAATACTCTGCTTTGGCTATACAGTGAGTATAACCTGCCACTGCACTAATGAGTTACCCTATCTTTGGAAAAATTTCTCATGTGACAATAACCAGAGAATTTGGGAACTAACTTAGATGACTGAAGATGCGAGGGTCAGGGTTGGCTGGGCTATGATACAATGGAGATATGGATCAGAACTAACAAAATGGCATGGCTAGAAGTCACTGCCAACTAATTTTTTTGTTTAATTTATATTTTCTTATTGAGATAAGTAACACTAGTTATATAGGACAGGACAGTGTGTGTGATGGGAAGGAACACCCCACAGCTTCCTAGTTTCTATAAACAATTTAACATTGTCAGCATTAATACAACTTCCTTTAATGGCCAGTCTGTCTGCAATTCCTGAAACCAGTACTGTTTTCTTTGTTAATCATGGTACCTTTGATTAGTCTTAATCCTTCTTCCTCAAGTGGTAATTTTTGTGCCTGATAATAGTTACACATCTCTAAGCTGATAAGGTAGATTTTTCATTAAGACAGAGATTCACCCCTCAATCCGTGTAACAGAGTAACTATTTAGCTTCATGATTGCCTGTAAAAAAGAGATGAGTGCCAACTAAATAAACCTAGAAACTTCAGGTTTAGCTAAAATATTTATTTTTTTATTTGCACTGTGGCATATATTTAAAATACAAAAGAATCAGAGTCATTTGAAACTAGACAGTGGTGTGTACCTGTAGTCCCAGCTACTGGGGAGGCCGAGGCAGTAGGATCGCTTGAGCCTAGGAGTTCAAGTTCAGCCTGGACAACACAGTGAGACCTCGTCTTAGGAAAAAAAGAATCATTTGTTTTTTCTTTAACACTAATTTGGATTTGTTTTAAAGAGTGAATCAGTTACTACTTTCAGCTGTAAAAATATTGTAAAATATTTTCTTATAAAAAAATTGTAAAATATGGTGGATCAGTTCATTTTCTCTGTGAG